GACCTTTGCCATTCCTCATTCCAGCCCCATCTACCACCAACCACTTATCTTTTTTCTATCGTTACAGATTAATTTTCATATTTTGGAATTTGATATAAATGGAATTATATACAAGTTACGTATTTGTTTCTGGCTTTTATAGGTCAGCATAACCATCTCGTGATTCAGTTATTGACTGTACTAGTAGTTTGTTTCCTTTTAATTGCCAAGAAGTAGTCCATTGTATGAATGTATTACAGTTTACCCACCCACCTGTTGATGGACGTTTGAGTTTTTTTCCAGTTTTTAGCTATTAGGAATAAAGTCAATCATGTGTGTGTGTTTTTAGTTGGAAATATACTTACTTTTTTTGGAGTTAATACCTCAGAGTGAGAGGCTATATCACACAATAGGCATATATTTGTCTTCTGAAAAAAACTACCACAATGTTTTTTACAGTGGTTTCACCATTTTATATTTCCATGTACAGTGTATGAGAGTTATAGTTGTTTCACATTATTGCCAACCAATACTGGTGTTATTAGTTTTTTTTTTTAACTATTCTAATAGGTATGTAGTGGTAGGAATGACTTTTTAAATAATTGAGTATTTAATTTTATAGTTTCAAATTAATAGGAACATCTAAATCAGGATTTTTGTAATACTAGGAATTTTTAATAACAAATTCATTTGATATTGTTTCTCACACTAGTGCATCCATTTCTTTCTTATATTCCACTGTACCCCACCCCTGCCTTTCTGATTCTCCATAAAGAATAAACATGTCTACTCTATAAGGAAATAAACATGCCCCTCTCTTTTTTTCTATTAAGCAACATTATTTATTAATATTATTTTACATGTACATTTAATGACTTATTTTTTAAATCATTGCTAAAATGTGAATGGTTTGGATTGTATATGTATAATTCAAGTTATCATTAATTTTTGGTGGCTTTAAGTGAATTTCATATAAATTAAATTTAATGTTGTTAAACTCTTATATCTTATTTATCTCATTGTTCTTGCACTTGATAGTCATATCTGAAAGATACAAGACAGAGTAAATCAGAGCTTTAAAAGGTCTAAAGTGCCAAGCAATTATGTCTACTGAAAGCAATTTCTTTTCTTTTAATTATGCACTATGCTTTTTGTTATTTTAAAATAATTGCCTACTAAAGTTGGAAATGTGGTTTTAAAAACACAAAATATATTAATATCATATGCCCATTCTTCACGTATGCTCCCTGGTTTTAAGTTAGTTCTCAATCATTTTAATTAAATTACCTTTCATTTTTTTACTAGCCAGGACAATAAAGAAAAAGGCTAAGCATCCGATCTAGGTGCAATAAAACTATGTCCTTTTAAAGGAATGTATTATTGTTATTTAAAAACATGAAAAGAATGTTCCTGACCTTAGTAATTTTCTCATGTACCCCATGTACAATTTCAAATCAATAACTTCTAGCTGATTCTTAAATTACTTGAACTATGAAATAAAAATATTCTTGCTATAATGTTATTTATAGTAGAAAATAACAATTAAATTATTAGTGTCATGGAAGCATAAGAGAGAGGAAAATGTGTATTTGCATATAATCTTTTGATTGCTAGATTATTTCTGAATTAAGTAAAAAGGTTATCACACATCATTAGTCAAAATAGATAATATATTTTTATAACTGACAAATCGTAGAGATAATAGAGTTTAATTTCATCATATTTTACAATAAAATTATTAACTAGAAGCTTTATAATGGCTCAAAATTATAAAGCTAGTTAGTCCCAAAATGTAAGCATTCTGGCATCTAGTCTAGCTTTCTCTTTTTCCAGAATTTCACATCTCAAACTCATGAGTACATGAGTAGAGCTGGCATTAAAAATGTGATGTTTCTCTTAAAGTCTGGTAAATTTAGTCATTGAGCCTCTATCATTTAGACATAAACAGAAATACATATAATATATGAGAATCTTTTAGCATTCAGCAAACATCTGTGTAATAATATTTAGCTTGATGCTGCTGCTGAAAGATCAATTTGTTATTAGGTAGGCAGCTTGGTTTTTATATACATATATTTAAAAAAATTAACACTAATGCTCTGGGATTCTTTTTTTTGTCTCCTAATCATTAAATCACACAGAGTTGTACCACAAAGTGGTATAGGGAGGTCATATTCGAATCTAAAGTTGTATAGAGAAGCAAGGTTAAATTCATATAAGAATCATAGGTAATATTTGTACAATTATCTTAATATACCCCAGATTTAAATAATAATAGCCAAGATCAAAGTCTATGAGAAAAGCAAGGGAAGATATTCCTGTATATATAAATCACAAATTCCCTGTCAGCTCAGAGTAATTTTTTTCTTTAATAAATCACAATCACAGTTTACAATGTTTAGAACAAATCTAAATAAATGAAGAAAGAGTAGCTTCAATTTATATATTCATTTAGGTTCCTTTTTTGACTCCAACATAACTCAGATAAACATTTGTAAGCATTAGTGGAGAACAGTAAAACTTGTCTGAAAATGAGGACCTCGCGTTTTGCATTTAGTATCAAAGACCAAAGGACAATCACTTGCTCTTTTTATTCCTGATGTCTTCATCGTGAAAATATGAGAATAACACTTATGGTAACCTATTTTACAAGATTCCTGTAAGACTCAAGTGAGATAATCGGTGGGAAAGTTCTTGGCAAAATTTAAAAGCTGAATTCATTTGCATTATCATCATTTCTTTTTAGATGGAATTTTTATTAGACACCTTGAAAAAGTGTGGTCCCAGCACTTCATTGTAAGGTTATGGATGTGTCCGGCAATTTTAAAGGACCATACGAAATTGTACAATTCAAGTGAAGTTTAAGAAACTCCTAGATGAAGCTTGAACAAACTAGAAATGAACTTATTGCTACATAGTATGTTTGAGCTTTGTTATTACATTATGCCTCTTGGAGAACTGGGATACCAAAAATCTTCATAATTTTGGCCTAATATATTTTTAGTAAATGTTCTTGAAATAGCCAGGTACTTGGAGTAGGATCATTTTCTTATTTTAAAAAGCAATAATTACTACATTTGAGGGGGAAAATAAATGAATTACAAAAGAGAATTTTATTTAAATTGACCAATTTGTGCCAATGAAATTACATCATTTGGAAGTTTTAATGAAGTTTATTTTTTAGGCTAAAGTTTACTTTTGGTGAATTTCATTTTCTGCTAAAATATGCATAATACATTTTGTAGCAGAACAGTTACAATTCAATATTTTATCTGTTATAAAATAAAGTTTTTAAAGATACAAAAATGATTTTGTAAGTCCTAAAACGAGACAATTTTCTTCTTGTATTAGAAGTATTTTTGTTGGTTTTAACATTTGGGAATGTCTAAATAAATTAAGATTTTACAGTTATAGTGACCTGAGTTGTAATTCTGGGTTTCCTCTGTATAGGCTGTGTGGCATTGGTAAATTTACTTAAATTCTCAGAGCCTTAACTTAATTAGTAAAAAATTAAACATTTTAATAATGCCTGCTTAACAGGATTGGTGTAAGGGTTTCATGGATAATAGCTACAGCTGAAGTATACGCCGAACACCTGTCCCACAACAAGCATTTAATAGATAGTACCTATTATTATGACATGACTGCTGTCTCCCCTCACTCTCCTCACAAAATAGTCTTATTTTCCTTTGTTACTCAGGCGTGTTTCTCCTTGTAAAATTAATTAGCGGTCCAACATATGTTTAAAAATCTACTTAAGGGTCATTCACACTCTCTGTAGAAACTGTTTAGAGTTTTGAAAAACTCTCGGATTTTATGACAATGAAAAGAGTGATTATTTAGAAGTATCATCAGTGCAATGTTATGCAATCAAGGTTTCCAGGCAGAAATTATCTACAGTAGCACAAAGTGAGTTTCATGTGCACCCGTTTTCGTTGGTAACGGTAATTGCTGGCTAGCAGGGTTCAGGAAAATAAGCCTTGTCTTAAAGTTTTAGAAAGGTTTAAAAAGAGGTCACTAAGTTAAAATCTTTAGAATGGGGCTCAGATCAATATGAGACAGTGCTTTAATTGCATGACCAATGCCACATCAGAACCGTAGAATCCATCCCATTGTTATTTACAATTACTGTGTTAAACACTAGTCAGGACCCTCCCAGAAAAAATTAGCAGCTATATTTTTGTTTACAATTTATACTCAGGATGCACCCATTTTGATTTAAGCAGCCTCTTTTCTGCTAGAACACTCTAATGTTAGTCTATAATTGGGTAATATGTTTCCTGCTTAACAGCAGCAAAAGTTGTTCTGCTCCTGAAGTGGATTGACTGGGCTTCTTCACCTTCAGGTCTCATCCTCCACCAGCTGAGGGAGCAAGAGACTTCTGCATGGGAGGCTGCAGCCCCACCTCCTCCTGGGGCTTCTCAAGGGGCATCTCTGTTTTCAGCTCAAGTAGGAGTACCAGTCCTATTTACAGCAACTCAGTTACCCTGAAGTTTTATTTTTGTAAGAAGTTTCATCAAAGAGCTTGTATTTTAATGAGATACTTAAAAAAAAATTACTTGGGAATGTACAAACGGATTCTCTGTTATATATGTTTGATGCATTCCCTTATTGAAACTTGGGGGTTTTCTAAGATTATACACACACACACACACACACACATTACAATGCAGATATAGCTCCTCTCTCTCTCTCTCTCTCTCTCTCTCTCTCTCTCTCTCTCTCTCTCACACACACACACACACACACACACACACACACACTCTCACACACACACACACACACACACACACACACACACACATCAAGGGAATGCCATATGTCCCAAGTGAGACCTACTGGGAAAAACAGAAGTGCTGAACATATCACAGTATCGTTGTGAGAGGACAGTCTTCAGTTTTTTCTCTGGCAATGAGAATTTTCTCACCCTCAAGACATGCAAATGACTTTTTTCATCTGTTCTTTTTATGTTATTTGCATAATTTTCTCCTGCAAAAGTGAGAGCTGTCAAAAATTAACCATTTGGGGCTCTGGCATTCAGTTATATGACCTTTTCCAGAGAGTTAGATCTCTTCAGGGAACTCGTACCTTTGGATGTAAGAGAGGTGGAAGTGCTGAGAAGGTGGTCAGTGGCAGAAAGAAAGAATGATGGATGGGGACCCGCGGGTTGTTAATGGTACATGACTACATTTACAAAGGTGTTTGACATTTTGGGTCCTCTCATACCCTTGCTTGTTTTTGTTTTAGTAAAACAGCATTTGAACAGATAATAGAAGAGATGATTCAGGTAGATGTAATGTTGTGCTGCCCTATGTTACTCAGGTTAATAGTACAATGCAAACATTTTTTGCAAGCATGATGCTAATTTAAAATGCTATTTGAAAAACTATATAAGCAATACTCTGTTCTCCATGCCTTGGTTTGAGTGCATGTGTCTGCAGACAACTGCCAAATATGCTTATTTAGTATGAATACTTCCTTTTTATAAATTCAGAGAGTTGCACTCTGGAGGGCTGTAATAAACCTTTAAATTCATTTTACTGTGACAAAGGTTGGAGTAAGTAGCAGGCTGGGGCAAAGACAAGTGCAGCTATCTCTTTGATCACACTGCTTTCAACATTTTTCAGCCTTAAGCGTGTCTTACAAATCAGCTCTATCAGTCTATTAATTGTTTCACTGTACCTGATATCTAACGTGAATGCACCTTGAAAAACGGCAGGAGAAAGCGCATTTGTTTAAGTCCTCCGATGGCTAACACGGCAGCTAATCGCCTTGCAAATTATAGTCATAGTTGTAGTTCATCTGTTAGGCTGGAAAAGACAAGATTCTCAAGTGGCCTTGGTGCCTTTTCCCATTTCCCGGAGACCCGCAAGCCCTCCGCGTGCGTTGTCTGCGCACCGGGAGCGTTCCTGCTAATCAGGTCAATGATTATCGCCTGGCTCCGGGGACATGACAGGAGTCTATCACAGCAGTTAGGAAGCCTCCGAACGGAGCACGCTCACGGAGAATCTCCGGTTAAGAAACATCGCTTAGTCCCTCATTTACTCACTGGGAACCTCTGAGGATTTCAGCTGATCTTTTTCTCTCCTTAGACAGTGAGAAGCGCAACCTAAACAGGGAAAAGGAGCACAGTATGCAGCTACTTGGAGGGTGTTGATTGAAAACTTCGATCTCCCCACCCCATTCACGGTTGACTTGACTGATTTCTCACATCGTTCACAGAGAATATTTCAATTAAGGTAAGTGCTGCTTTATCTGGGTGACTGCATCACACTGAATTTCTGCATTGAAAGTTCTAACTGACTAAACTGACATTCTGCACTGCAGCAAGTGACTGTTTATGTCAGGAAAATCTTAGTTTATAAGCAAGTGTCCTGGAGTGTAAATGGCATTTGGGGATAATGACATTTCAGGGTAATTTCTTTTGAGATATAATCATTCTGCCTTGCATCCACAGAAAATAAAAGGGAGGATGAAAAGAGAGGTAATTTCTCAATTTACCTTTTTAATAATCTATTTAGAGGACTGTGCAGTGCCAAGGTAAATTGATTTTGATTGAAGTGGTTTGTTGTCAAATGGTCAAATCTCCGAGTCTGAAGGCTTCAAAGTTAAATTAGATGGAAAAAAAATCCTTGCAAATGAGAGTTGAGATTTTGTGCAGCTTTGTACTTTAGCAACATTCCTGAGCTCCCTTTTAGTTTAAGGATTTAGGACTAAATCCCTGAATATTTTAATAGTGTCCATTTAAAACTTAAAATTTAAATGTTACAGTTTCTGATGCAAATAATAAGAAAAATATACCTGGAAGATTTATTATATCATTGATATTATTTATAGTTCTTATTCAAGAGAGATGAATTTCTTTTATGAGATAGATTAATGCAAATGAAAGTAAAAAATTAAAACTGCTTTATAAAATGCTTGTTTTTGAAAGGAGATTGCTTTAATAGCACATTAAGATTATGTGTTTGTTGAAATCTTTTAGTTTTTTTATGTTTAAGGTCTTTTTTGTTATCAAAGTCTAGTGAATTGAGGTTAAGCTTACATTTTACATATAGTTTAGGGCAATTATACAGGTAATTTAGATAAACCAACTCATATTATTTCTTTTATACCCATTTTCCTCTTAAGTTTATTAAAAATATCTAGAAGGATAATAGAAGCAACTTTTTCCAAAGTTAGATTTAATTACCTGAACTTTTTCTTTTCTATTCACTTTGCACATGTTAAGTATAGTCTGATGGTTTTATTCCATATTATGGTAAATTTCTATGTGGCAAAGAATAATAAAATAATTCTATCACTATAATTATATATCATCTGTTAATTAGCACTCTAAGTACCCACAGACTAGCAGTTATTTACTTGTTATTGTGTAGAACTTATACTATAAAAAGGTTTTCAAATAACAAATGTTATTTAAAATATACACACATTTTAATAATACTTATACAAATTGAATTTCAATAATTAATCTGCAAAGTTATAGCACAATGTAAATATGTAGCTGCTTTTGTGTAAAGATTTATAATAGTGTCTTGAATGTGCTTTTTAGAGTGAGCACTCGTATTTCCTGAAATGCTGACTCCACCTTCCTTCTATGGGTATCTTGAGATGGGACATTTCATAAAGATGTCAGAACACTGATTATATTAATTGGCTATGCTTCTGAAATTCTCTGGAGAGCTTTTAAGGTTGATGTTGATGTTATTGTTTCTTACACAGGAATAAAATATTTTCAGGATTCCCCCCTAGGCAGTGATGTGTATTTGCTGGTTGTTGATATGTTTTTAATCGAAGTCTAAAGGCATTTATCTACCTCTGTTGCACTGATATTTCTATCTTTTTTTTTTCTGGGGAGACGGTTTCTAAACTGATTCAAAGATAACTGGGAGAAGAATATGCTGACTACAGTGATTGTACCTGGGTCTTTGGCTTCTTTTTTTCTGTTAGGCAAACTTGATAAACAGGAAGAGGCAACAGTAACCAAACAGGGACACATTTGCTAGTAACAAACTTGTATTAATACATTGCTGAAAACATCCCTGTATTATAGACTATCCCTTGTGCCAACTTCAAAGTTAATGGTGGGGTCAAACCCAATGACCTTTTATTAATGTATTGGCCATTGAAGTGTATGACCAGTGTATGACCATAAAGGATGTGTTTAGTGTGTAATGAAATATTTATGTTTAATAATTAAGTCACTTGCAGTTAATACATTGCTGAAAACATCCCTGTATTATATACTATCCCTTGTGCTAACTTCAAAGTTAATGGTGGGATCAAACCCAATGAACTTTTATTAATGTATTGGCCATTGAAGTGTATGACCAGTGTATGACCATAAAGGATGTGTTTAGTGTGTGATGAAATATTTATGTTTAATAATTAAGTCACTTGCAGTTCTTAATTCAAAAGAACATAGCAAAAGTTTTTAAGGAGTTCTATCATTACTGTAGTTGTAGTTGTCTTAATTTGCATTATACATACTGCTAAGAGAATGGAGAATGTCGTGGGTGCAACTGAGAATTTGTAGCTGTTTATTTTAGGTAGCACCTGCCTCCTTAATAGGACTTTCTATTTTTTTCACTTATTAAATTATCTTCAGGTGCCACCATACTTTTAGTTTCTATATTAAATCCCATTTTCATTCATTTGATGGTAATTTATTCCTTCTATAAGATCATAAAACATCTTATAGGATAACCTTATAACTTCAGAGTAAAAAGTTTCAAAATTTAAAGACAAAAATTTGCTAAAGTTTTATAAAATTTGCTTCAAGATCTATAATCTGTTCTTCAATATGTGATATGTTCAATACAAGACAATGGATAGAGGCAATATTTAACATACCTGGCATGCTTCCTAAATGCCAGACAGCTAGGTTATAAGCATTTTATGTATGATTATATAATGAATTCAAAATAATTGCATAGGTGTTTTTTTACCCCCACTTCCCTGAGAATGAGATGTGGACTGAGAAAGGATACGTATCAAGGCCACATCATAGTTAGTGAACCTATGATGCAAACTGAGGTCTGGCTGTGTTTAAAACTAATATTTTTAATACTATACTACTTTGTTTTTTCATAGATGGTGATTGTTACAATGTTTGACATCATACTGATGAATATTTTTAAGGTAGTACAGGGAAAGTATATTACCCTCAGAATAGGTTAACTCTTGCTTACACAAAATAAATGATTTTGTAAATTCCATAGCCACCAATATTTGAAACCAGGATGCAGATTGTTCTTGTAGGTTCTGATAAAGATTAGTGCGTAAGTCTTTGCTTTCCAGCTGATTCTGATTACTACTGACACACAAAGCATAATCACTACTGAAATTTAGTATTTGTAATATGCACATCATTCCTAGAGAAATTGACACATTCTCAGGATAAAAGAAAATAAAATTTTGAGATATAAATTGAATGCACTACCACTTGTATTGAAATGAGATTAAAAAGGAAGTTAAGGGGAACTCATGTTAATGGTGAAAGACACACACAATATTAGAAAAGATAGAGAAACTGATAGTTGGAATTGAATGTTGGAAGTGAACTTAATAAAATAGATTTAAATGTACAGGAGTCTATTTTCTGTACTGACTTTAAATAATCTTTTCCCTATGTATGCAAATATTTGCTGTAAGTAATTATGTTAATATTGTGACAATATTTTCCAGCTAAAATTTGATCTAATCTTATGACAAGAAGATTGAGTTGACCTGAAAAAATTTAATATGATTATCTGTCATATCCAAGGATGTACTAAGATGATAACTGGAAGTTAGGTTTCATGGTAATATAATCATAAAATATGATCATTTATTGTGCTCTAATATGTTCACAAATATGCAAAAAGATAAGATTGTACAAGATTCTGTGAATAACAAGTTCACAGAAATATATATGTATAAAATTTCCAACTACCAACCAGCATACTTTCTGTTTCTTAGCTGTTGTCAAGCCGTTGGCTTATCCTACATGTGTATGAGAATAATAGAGTATATATACACATTATCTCCCTTCTTACTATTTCACAGGAATGAACATAGTCTGTAAAGAGCAGTATTGCGGAAGAGCTTATAATGGTGCCAGTCCACAATGCATAGATGGTGCTACCAAGAAAATATGACCATGTATCTAGGCAACACTGGCCACAGTAGGTTTAACCAGAGGTGAATGTGCCCAGATCTAACATAGCCATCCCTAGATTGGCCAATGGCCACCATATGGCCTTATAGGAGAAACATGCCGATAAAGAATGCTCTGTATTAAACACAAATATCTGACTTGGGGACCTTAAATATGAAATACCATGTAGATCACCAGTAGTTGGTGAGCAGAAACAGAAGTTGAGAAACACAGAGATGGTAGTCTGTGGATATCATGAATAAACTGCAGTCATGAGGTTGGTGGGAAGGAAAGAAAAGAGGTTAATTGCCTTAATTCAATAAGAGACAAATTTTGTAACTTACCGTAAGCATGAGAAGAAAGGAGTGCTCCCTTGTGAAGGGGCAATGAGGGTCTACTGCTTATACACCATGCAGTGGTTAAGACTTTTTCCCCTTTTCCACATTTTTCTCTGTGGTTTCAGTCCCATTAACCAATTCAAATTGAGCACAACTGTTTTCCTTACAATGAAAAGATTGTAATTGATTCAATATCTTATGTATTCGTAGTTCTGGTAGGCAGTGGAAGAGGCAGTAATGTGTAGTGACTGTAAGTACATGTTCAGAGTTCAACTACCTGGATTCAAATGCAACTGAGGGTACTTGCTAGCTCTGTGGCCCTGGACAAGTCACTTAAGGTGTCTAAACATTGTTTTTATGTTCTTTATAATGGAACTAATTATAGTATCTATCCCATAGCAGTGTTGTGAGAAATAGAGATAATTGATATAAAATATTTAAAATTGTACGAGTGCTAATAAGATGATAGTTATTATTACAAACAGGAAACTTTATTATTAGTCCCTCACCTGACTTGTCAAGTAGAGAAAACTAGAGCCGTTTTTTCTCCTTAGCAACAATGAATAATTGGATATTGCCAGAAGCTCCTGGAACCATTTCCTGCCACTGTTTTTAATATATCAGTACATTTGAATTTGAGGAACATGCTTTTATTGTTGTTTTATTGGATTTACACAGACGAGTGTACGTATTTTGAAAGAATGTAACTTAGGAGTCAGTTTAGGGTAACCTTCCTATTTTTGATGGAGGACTAAAGTAC